TAAAAATAGATTTAAGTTGGAATATCCCAAAAGTCCCTATAAAGGAAATATATAAAACCAGTTTTTTGAAATCCTCTTTTAATATCGATTTACATGTTAAAACCATTGAACAAGTTTATGCTTTAACAAAAATTCAAGAAACATGTCAATTATTAAGTGAAGAATCAATCAAAAAACATTATCCATTGGTCATAATTTTATTCATATCGGTTTAATTTAAGTTATAGTCAAACCCTTAACTATGCAAGGTCGTGATTCTTCTGTTTTATTATGTTTAAGAGATGCTCGGTTTATTGAATATTATGATAGTTTAATGGGCATGATGGACTCTGGTTTCCACAAAGGATCTGTCCATTTTAATTGTTTTTCTGATTTTACTTTGAGTCTTCGTGATCCTCACATATTAAAAGCTTTAACATTAAACCTCCAAATTTCCGGTGACTTTACTAAAATGCTTGTAGGTGCACACTCTATTGTTTTAATATATCGAATTTATTACAAGTGTATTAAAGCTAATTTTAATGTCCATGCCTTAGTTAAAAGTCCCAAAGATAAAACCCTACTCATACAAGGCAGTACTAATGACGCCAATATAGATGTTACTACAACTATTTGTTGGCAAGACATAACTCTTCTTGATAATTGGACTACAGTCAATGAAAATTATGTTCACCCACACCAATCTGATAGTCATGATGTCCGACAAATCCAACAAAATGATGATGGTTCTGTTCATATATGTTTTAATTGCCCAACTTATAGTCAATCCTCTCAGCGTGGTACATCTAGTATCCCTACTGATGACGATGAAATTTTTAGTACTTTATTTACGCGAAAAGATAGAAAACTTCTAATAGGTCAACCTTCACGTACTACAAATAGTAAATTAAAAGGAATCGATAATTCCTCTACATCTCAAATTAGTAAACATATTTATTCAACACACACACACATCTTCATGAAGAAGATACCACATCTCATGATTCGCCCACTCAAACAGACTTTGAAGTTATTCCTCCTGTTAATACACAATTATTAACTCTTAGTAAACTTTTTACTCCAGATCTTAATAAACTTCATTCTGAATTTAAATCTAAAGATAATAAAATGACAAATTTGTAGGAATGCTTATAGTGAACGACAACAATCCAAAATAATTAAGACATGGTATAATTTATGAATGAAATTAGTATTGAAGTTAATTTCTTTGATTATCTTGAAAATTATTATCAAAAATTATATACTATTACAAAAACTAAATGGAAAACTTCCTCTAATACTACTGTTTCTTCTAGTCATCCTCCTTTGTAAACTATCATCATTGAACATAAAGGATCGCGTGTACATGCTTCTCCTTTTAAGCTTCCTCGTGTTTGAAAACTAAAAAATTACTTATAAAAAAATTAGTGAAATAAAAAAACACAGAAAATAAAAAACTTAATTTTCAAAAAAGATGATTCAACCAAACAAGGTGAATTCTTTTTTCTCTTTTTTTTTTGGGGGCTTGATTTGATTTTGTTGTTTGTTTTATTTTCTTGTCTTGGGTTACAAGTTGATAGCTTGCCAACGGGTAGCCTTGGATCTTCCCAAAAATCAAGATAGGGAAAGTAGTAATGTTTATTGGGTAAATTAAATTGGTAGCTTTTTTATTTTGTCTCATATATCATTTTGATTTATAAATTTATAATTGATTTAATTTTAAATTTTGTACTAATTTAATTCAATTAATAAAGCCAATTAGTGTTTTTAAAGTAAAATCGTTAATCAGATGATTGAGATTGACTCACTTAGTTAAGAAAATTTATAATTTTGTTTCTGAAAGTGTAACTCACGCTTGGTCGGCAAAAGTTATCCGCGACCAAATTTTTTGGTCGCTACTTTGGTCGCCAATTGAGGGTCAGCAAAAGTAATTCGCGACCAAAATTTTGGTTGGTCGGCAAAAGTCGGATTTGCCGACTAAATTTTTGGCCGCGAAATATATCATTACCGCGACTAATTCATTTAGTCGCTAAAACACTTTGGTCGCGAAAAGTGATATTTTCCCGACCAAAAAGTTTGGTCGCCAATTATCACATCCAACGACCAAAAAGTTTGGTCGCCAATTATGACATTCCGCGACCAAAAATTTTGGTCGCCAATTGTGACATTCCGCGACCAAAAAGTTTGGTCGCCAATTGTGACATTCCACGACCAAAAAAGGTTTTGGTCGCCATTTGTTACTTTTCGCGACCAAAACTTTTGGTCGGCAAAAGTAAATTTCCACGACCAAGAGCTATTTTGGTCGGCAATAGATGTATTTTTTGCGACCAAACCCTTGGTCGGCAATTGTCATTTTTTGCGAAAAAAAATTATTTATTTGTCGCGACTAATAAATTGGTCGCCAAAGCAAGAAAACAATACACTTGTAATTCCTAATAATTCATTCAATCCATAATAAACCTATAATTTTAAAGCATCATTCAAATTAACTGAATCATTAACATTCGACACAATACATAATTCATTAACATTCGATTTATTAAATTTCTGTCAAACAACCAGACATTGTTCCAATTCAAACTGAAAAACCAGACATCCCCAGCTGGTGTTCCACCAAACATTGTTCACACAAAATAATGACAACCAAAGAATCCAGCAACACCTTTCTAAACTGTCAAAACCTACTTCCAAAATTTCTTAAATTTCCCAAAACACTAGTGTACATTATGTACATCCTATTTATAGAACTACATTCCAATTCAAACTGAAACACCCTAGTTTTAGCAAGAACAAAAAGAAACAATTCTACAAGTAAATAATATGTGGAAGCTTTGACTAAAACAAGAACTCTGTGTCAAAAACTTCGAGGACATTGTGGACGTCAATAGGGTTCACACCTGGCCGGAAAGCATTTCCTTCAATATACCTGTGACAACATTTAATCAATTAGCATTTGACCTAGTGTTGGGTAATTGCAATTTGCTTGTAGTGATTGAAGACAGAAACTCACATTTCTTTCAAGAAAGTGTGCTTATAGAATGCATCCGGGATTCTCCCAGTAAATTGATTATGATCCAGGTACCTGCAATGAAAGCAAGCTTAAGATGCTGTCCCATGCCTACCCAAAAAATATATAAATAACACCAGTGGAATAGTTAATCAAGTGGACTAGCTTAGTAGAACACTAGCTTAGTGGACTGCCACAATATAAATAACACCAATATAAATAACACTAGCTTAGTGGACTGCCACAATAGTGGAAGAGTTTGGCAAGAGATTGGACTGCCACAATAGTGGAACAGTTAATCAAGTGGACTAGCTTAGTTGACAATTTTTACATACTTCTAATTACAAGGTTAGGGAGTCAATTTATGCCAAAGACAAAGATTGATTATTTTTGCTCTATTATTTATAAATTATGATTGTTCAATTTAATATAATTATCTTCATAAATATAAATAATCACCTACCAATTGAAAAAAAAAACAAAAAAATCACCATCAAAGTTGCTACCCTATATGGAAAAATGCACACACTAGTGTAAAAGGAGAGATTGTGAAATGATCAACTTCTCATGATAAAATTTTTTGTAAAATAATCAACTGCTACATGACAACTGAATGAATAAATAGTTTTGAAAAGAATTCAGATCTTTGATATCCATAAGGCACTAAGTAAAAATTTGGATTTTAGAACTTGCTAACATCCTTACAGATAAACACTATATATTTGAACTAAAAGCAAAATAAACAAACTAGATGATCCAAAAGATAAAGGAGCTACTCTACAATATTTTATTTATTGCTCAATAAATTTATTCCACAAGTCCATCCTTGCACACATGTATTCGACCCAACTTCACATTAAAAGTACATAAATCTTTTCGTTAAAACAAAACTCCTAATAAAAACAATAATAAAAAGAAGAGACCAATACCTGGCCACAAGCATCCATCCTAGGGCATTGAACCACCACCACTTCTCTCCCATTGTCTTTTCTGTTTCTCAAAATAAATAAAAGAGTTACCAAAAATAACTGTGACAACAATTACAACCAAATATTAGGGCTAAGGCATAGATAATTACAACTATGGACATCAAGGCCAAGTCAATGAAGGCCACCCCCAAAGCCCAGGTAACTTCGACATTGGACTTGAAAGACAATAAATTTAAGATATAATCATACAAGGCTTAGAACCAAGGGTAAGTCTAAGGAAACCGAGGCCACCCCTAGGCCAAGGTAATCCAAGGCCATCACTAGGTCGAGGCAAACTACAGCCACCCTAAGGTGAAGGCAACCAAGGCCAAAGCCAAAGGAAAGACAATGAGAAAAGGGTATCAATAGCTATTATTATGTTTTGAATGATATTTTATGATATCCACACACAAAGGGTCAGAATCCGTCTAAGTTTAGTAAAAAGGGAATTTCTCCCTTGATGTTATGCCAGAAATGGCACACCTTATTTCAAAAGAAAGATAACACATGAGATGATTTTGCTCAACTATTTTAAAGTTGATCTTGCTTCTAATATCCATTATCAAACCAAGAACTATCTTAAATATTTTGTTGAGTAAAGATATTTTCAAGAAAATTTTAATAAATGTTTTCTAGAATGGTGCATCAAAATTGGCTATCATGTCATTTGTTTTCCACTGTTTCACACAATAAAAATAATTCCAAATTGTGTAACTTTATTTTTTATGCAATCCCAACCACCAAATAGATTTCATTGTCATCTTTCTTTCCTTAATTATGTATAACTTCAATTTAAACACACTATTAACCAAAGAAACATAAATTTTGATAGAGGGATGGAGAGTGAATTTGCAAAAATTTGACACAGAAGATATATACTTTTGTTTAAAAAGAAACATGCATGAAAAATATTCATGTAGTTCAATCATATTCTCTCTTTTTTGCTGTAATAATGGTTACCTCATCCTCACATAAACACATGTGAAAGTTAAAGGGAACCTTGGAAGCTTGAGGAGTTGTTAAACAAATGGAGAAACCATAATTATTCATAAGAGTTCAAATCCAATGAAGGAAACACAAGGTAAAACCACCTAAAATTTCATTAAAAAAGCACATTGAATTATCTTCTATCTACTTCTCTTCCTAACATGTTTTGAGGTTGGTTGGTTGGAATCCTCCTCTTTCTAGTTCTTTGCTAACTTGTTCTGTAAGAACATCATTCAAATCTTCCAAGCCGTCATTTTTATTTTTCCCAGAGTCATTTGAACTGTCATCAGACGTTCCCCTAATTCTCAATCTCTTCTTATCCCTCATGTCATCTGAATGGCTAGATGGAGTTGCAAGATCATTATATTGATGGAAAACACTAATTGGGTTGCTCTCTTGCTCAGAATCCGAAGAAACAAACTCCACAATATTCTTTTTCACCAGCCTACGCCCTTTGCGAGGAGGTTCAGCTGAAGTAGTGCTTCTTTTCTGTCTCACCAATTGCGTAGAGGAAGGAGAACTTCGTTCTTCATTCTATTCCAGGAACAATAAAGAAGAAAATTTTCGAGTAAATTACAGCACCAAGTGGTAAGTCACAGAGTCTAGAGAGAAGAAAACAAAGACATAAGCAAAACTTTTCCACCATATATGGCCTATATGCAGAGGCATATGACTCTAAAACAAATTCTAATTACTTATTTCACCTCAGATTGCAACCAGCACAGACTAATAGGTTTTAGGGGCCAAAACAAAACTGTAAGGTGATATTTTCTGCTAAATTAATTTTTTATCTGTCTTATATTAATAATGCAGTTAACATCTATTTAAAAAATATATGTCCATGTTTATGTCCTAATTTATTATGTGTCATGAACAAGTTTACAACAAAAATTAACCTTTCTAAAAGAACAATGAATCAAAAAGGAATATATAAAACATAAAACTACCATCTTAAATAATCAAGGACAAAAGTTACCAAAAATCAAACACGGGGTAAAGTCAAAACTTGAACTTCATTTTATGTAACAGGCCAACTATAGTTTTTGAAACAGCATATTAGAAACAAAAGCAACTGGACAGAAGCTACATGAACAGCATATCAGAAAGAGAAGCTAACTGGATAGAAGCTACATGAATAGCACATCAATTTTCATAGCAAAGGCAACCATTTCCTTCTCCAAAATACTACAGAAAAAAATAATAATTATCCATTACCTCCACTCCAATTAATCTAGATAGAGGAAGCTCCGCATACCATCTGCTGCTAGTAGAACCATGCTTCAAACTTTTCTTAACTGTTTTTTTATCTAATTTATGAGAGCTATTGTTGCTTGTACCAAGCTCGGGAAACAAATTCTGTAATAGAATAAGATTAAAAAAAATCAAGATTCAACAATTAGTGTCAGGTCCTACAAATTTAATCAGTACCAAATAAAGCAGAAAATTTAAAGTGGTCGGTCAGAAGCATTTAACCTAAGTTTATAGCCAGAGTTTTGGATGAAAATGCAGCTAAAATGTTGATCATTGGGAATTTGACATCTATCAAACCCTCAATAGAACAAAGAAGGAAAAAATTAAGCATTAACTGAGTTCAATGATCAACCAAACAAGTGGTAGCAACACACAGTAATATCTACACTATCCTTTAAGATGGTTTGCAACCTGCAGGATTACCTGAGCTCCCTAAAATTACAGGGAAGACATCTCCCCTTCAAACAATTTGGTTAATTGAATCTTGAAAGTTGTCTATTAATTTCATGGTGATTTTAGAGCTTGCTATTTTCAAAGGAATTCAGATGGTGATTTTAGAACTTACTACTATTTTCAGAGCAACTAGATTATTCAATGAATTAAATTAAATGGGGAGCAAGTATATTCATGGTTAAATTGCATTCCTATGATAAGCATATCATTCCCATGAGATCCAAGGCCGTCAACCTTTGATGTTAAAGCATATAATTCCATCCTCCATCATGTTGTTCCTTTGTGTCAATATCCAGTTTTCCACAAGTTCGATGGGAAGAAAAATGCCTCACATGCATGGAACAACCATAATATTTCATCAAATTTAAATTATTGATTTCATGGAACATGATAACTTTTGTAATCAATAATTAAACTGATAATACACCTTATAATTGCCAAATAAATGTCACTGTCTCTATGGGCTAAACTAAGATAAGTTAGTTGTTCCCACAGCATGAAGATATGGAGATGTGTAGGACGCATTACAAAACAAAAACACAGGAGGAGCTTTGTGCTTAATTACAAATTACAAGCTTCATCCAAACAACAGAAACTTCAAACAATATCAAAGTTTAAACAGTAATACTCATGTCATGAAGCAACCAATGCTTTGCAGCCTAAAAGCAAGATGTATAGTTCATTATCAATTATAACACACTTTAAAAAGTCCTCATTTGAATTTCTAATGTAGTACACGCATCTAATGTTCATAGTCGTCAAACAACACTCATCTGAATTCTTCTTTAACAGTACCAGCAAAAATAATATAGGAAAGGAATCATAACAGAAGTAAAAAAAAAAAGGATTGTTACCTCACTTAGCAAGCGAGAACGAGTCCCAATGAGATGGCCAGACAGTCCTTGTTCAATATCAATAGCAGGTCCTTTATAGTGATTGTGTGCATTTGATTGATAAGGAAGCAAGAGACTCACCTTCTCAGTGACAAGTGGCAGTTCCAAGAGTAAGGGCCCAACTTCTTGGCCACTGCAAATTATCAAAACTCAAAATATTAAGCTTTGAATGGAAATACAAATGATAGTTAATATACAAATAAAGCATCAGTTACAACGTATAATTCTCTAAGTGAGAAGCAATAACCAGGTTATCAAAATATTATCTCCGCAGTTGCAGTGATCACATTATCCACATCTATAGGTTTAAAAAGTGGTGGAAAAAAAAAAGGTGAAGAAAAAGCTATCAAAGAAAGAGACATCAATTTATTTTACCAAATGAAAATTCAGCCTCTGGTACAAGGCAAGTTTTTTAAACTTTTGGCTCTGGTTAGTATTCATACATACAAACATTATTCTATCATACACAGACAAATGTTCAGCAGCACATGCCAGATTTTAAATTTGCTACTAGTTGAAGCATTACTGCAGTCACCATTTTCAGTTATATAGATTACATTACATCTGCCTTTGTCAAGCGTATTCCAGCAATGCAAAAACTAGTACCCTAACAAATGAAACATATGATTAAAATATGTTTCAAGAAGTAATGAAAAAGTTCCCCTAATGCACTTCCCTCAAGGTTCCATTATTTCTCAAGATTTCCAGAGAAGAAATAATATAAGCATTATATAGAGGAGCATAAAATTGTTGACATATGGTCTGAAGTGACACCAACAAGTGACAACCATACAATTCATGCCACGCTCTGAGGTACCTGAATCTTAGAACTCCATTGGGAATTAATTATCAACAAAGGTGAAAAGTGACTGGATTCCAACCTCACCCTTGATTTGATTTTCCCTTTGCTTTGATCAAATCCCAGTATAAATAAGGCTCAATAAAGATTGTATCGACTTTGGACCCATTATATGTCCTGCAGTTTGGATTTGTTTTGTAATAAATAAAAAATAAAAAAGTAACCAGCTAGCTTTAAAAGCCTTCTTCATTTGGTTGCTGAAATAATTATAGGAAAAAAATGATAAATTTGTATCTTAGGCAAAGATTTCATCCTTCGACCTCGAGTAAACAAAAACAAGAACACAACTCAGCAGAAAGCAAGAAGTTGGCTAAATCAAGGTTTCTTTAACAGTTGGTGTTGGCGGGAACCTAAAACAACACAAAATCAAAATCTACTTTTCCCTCTTTTGCATCCATTCCGAAGGGTCCGATTATAGCTTGTAAATACAGAAGATTATTCTTAACTCACATATGCAAATCAATAAAACCGACATAATAAATGTATACTGAAAGCATATCAATGAATACCATAATTCTCCGTACCTCTGCAAAAGATAAGGCTGCTAGCTGTCGTCACTCGCTGCTCACCGTCGTTGCTCGCTGCTCGCCATCGTCCCCCCTTGCTGCTACTGCCACTGCCGCTGCCGCTGCTTGCAGACGTGAGAGAGAGAGAGAGAGAGTATTTTGGACATTTTTGAAATTGGGGATTTTTTTTGTTTAAGGGGTCAGGGATTGGAGATTTGAGTTGGTGAGAAAAAACGGGGGGAAAGGAAGGGGGGAATTTGGATAGAAAGAGGGGGAAACGAAAAGAAAAGAAGAAAAGAAGAGGAGAGGTGGTGTCAATGATGTGGTTTTATTCTATTTTATTTATTTATTTATTTTTATTATTTTTTTTTTGAAGTTAATGAATTTTTTTTTATTATTTTTGATTTTTTTTTTAGTTACTAAGCTTGAAATTTTTTTTGTTTCATTTTTATTTGAATGAAAAAGAATTATTATTATTATTTTTTACTTGGTAGAAGTAGGGGTAATATTTTAATGAAAAATATTTTTCGTTAAAATAAAGTTAATTTTTTGTAGTTAATGAAAAATATTTTTTTGTAGCCCATTTTATTTTTTTTTTACTATAAATCAAGAACTAATTTTTGTAATAGAAGAGAGGGTGTGGTAGTAGTGGTGAAGGTGGTGGATAAAAGGTAATGACGAAGAAGATTAGTGATGAAGTTGTGGTAGTGGTAGAGGATGTGGAATGACGGTGGTGGAGGAGAGGTAATGGTAGTAGTAGTGGCAGTAGTAGTGGTAGTAGTGGTGGTGGTAGTGGAGTGGTGGTAAGGGTGGTAGTAATGGTAGTCGTATATGTGGAATGGCAACAGTGGTAGTAGTGGTGGTAGTGGAATGACATTTTTTCAGTAGTGGTGAAGGTAGTAGAGGAGATGTGTGGTGAGAGAGAAAGATGAGTGAGAGACAGATAGGGAAAAGAGACAGAGAGACAGAGACAGAGTGTTAAGCGAGAGAGAAACAAACTAGTCGCTAAAAGTGCATTTTCTTATAGTGGGTCGATAAGTCCAGAGGGAGCTTGGTGAGCAAGGCGAACACAGAAACATATATTTGCAATTGATCAAAGAAACATAAACACAAAATACTCTTTGAATTACCAAATATGGAAATTAACATATGCCCAGAACGAAATATGGTGGCTAAGAGAGGAAGGAAGAATGAGAAATAGTCGTGTGAGAGAGAGTAAGAGAAAAAGACATGAGAAACGTATGAGGGATTAGGGGCAAAACTTGGAGGGTCCCAAATTTTGAGAGGGAATTTCAAATTAACAAAAAAAATTAGTAATTACACACATTATATGATTAATTAGACAACAAATTAATTAAGAAAATTAAATTATCGTTAGCTAATTTAAATGATAGTGACAAATCACTTTTTTGCGAACGAATCCATTGATGACTTCTCTCTTTGACTCGTAAGTTTTCCATTTACTCGCTAGTACAACTAACCAAGCATTACAACAAAACCAATAAACTTAGGCCTATTGTAAAATAATTTAAGCTTATTTCAACTTAATTCAGGCCAGATTTTAAAAAGTTTGTTAGGCCATCTTCGGCTCTTAAATTTTTACTCAAATTTAAGAAAAATGAAAAACCTAAACCAACCAACCCCCCAACCCCCCCCCCCCAAAAAAAAAAAATTATCCCTCATAAATCAATTAAACCCCTAATATAGATTTTTTTTTTTTGAAATATTTAATAATAATTTTCATTAAAAAATGAGAAAAATAAATTTTAAATAAAAAAATGAGTATTGATCACGTTGAGTAGTCTTTAGAGAGTAATTGCTAACTTTTACGTTAAATTGTCATTCAATTGATGATATGCCTGAGTAGGTACTAATCTCAATTTTGTGGGTAGATCTCAACATATTCATTTTCATCGTTCAATATAATTTTTCAAATGTCAAAAAAAGATGTTAGTCTCATAATAAATGTAGTCTAAATTTTTACCCACTTAATTTTGAAATTACTATTAGTTGATCAATTCTATTGAAATTAATTTGAAGAATAAGCTAGCTAAAATTGCACGCACGCATGCACACACAGAGTAGCCAAGAAATGTTCAACTCAATTAGTTTCTTTAGGATCAACTCAAGATAATTTGAGACTCAAAAGAGACAATTCTAAATGAAAATTTTTATATTTTTTTAAATTTTTTTTTTTTTTTTGCAAAGTATATTATTTAAAATTTATTTTTTTATTTTTGAGATAATAAATTATTAATTAAATATTTGAATTTATTTTTTTTATATTTGGAGGTCTAATTGATTTTTGAGGTATAATTTGGCAGTAAATGAAGTCTAGTGCCAAATTAGAAAATTTTGTTTGATTTTAGATGGTAACTAAGGGTGGGAATGAAATTGATCCAAAATATAATATAATTGAAAGTATAGGGATTAAATTGATTTTTGAGAGATCGTTTAGGAGGCAAAATGATATTTCCTCTAAATAATTTCGGTGTAAAAACAACCCATCAAATTTTGGTGCCGTAAACCTACATAAGACTACAACTCATCCACTAGGGGTAACCTAGTGTTTTAAAGGCTAGTTGCATACGCTAAATGGCATAGAAAGATTTCATTTTCTTTTCTTTTTAGTTTGCTTTCCTCGAGGACCAGCAAAGTGTGAGTTGGAGTGTGTGATAAGTGCCAAAATGTTACACATTTAGGCCCTCCAAAATACACTTCATGAGTTCATAATCTTGTGTTATTTTGATACTTTTGTGTTGTTTTATACATTTGTAGACTTTCCAAGTCTTTACACTCAAATGACATGAGTAGGATGAATTTTGCAAAGCTAACATGGATTTTTTGAAGAAAGGATTATCCAATCAAATTTAAGAATAAAATCTTCAATTTTTGCGTTGGAAGTTCTCTGCACAGCAGTTGGTATTTTGAGCACATCTCCTTCATATGATATCAGAATGAGATGATTCAAACAGCATTGGAAAGCTAACTCAAAGGGCCACAAATCATTATCTCACACTATTTTCTCAATTCATGTGGCGACCCTGACCTCCAAACTAGTACATTATATAATTTAAATGAGTTTAGTTGCATGATTATGTGCTTGATTGTGTGATTACATGTTAATTCTATAATTATCTGTTGATATATGGAATATATGTTTAAATCGACAACTTAGAGTCGGAAATTGGGAGCCTAAACGGCTTCAGGAACTGAAATTGACTAGCCCAATAGGCTAATTAGAATATTTAGAATTTTATGGCAACTTTAATTGAAATTTGATTTGAACCAAAATAATTCGAATAAACTGATTGAATTAGTTAGAATTAAGCCTAGGTAATTAATTCTAACCATATTTGATTAGGCTAACTTAATCACCTCCTATATAAGACCCAAATTAAGCTTATGGGCCCATTTTATATACACACTCAGCTGAGAATTGAGAGAGGAGAGGAGAGTTCAACATTTAGAGAGAGAAAGAGGAGAATTGTAGAGAATTAGAGGGAGATTCAAAGATTGGAGCCCCAATACACTTGAATTCAACACTAGGTATGGCATTCATCACTAATTCATGTAGTTATGGCATATAGTAGTTGAATTCCTCTCATTTTTGAACTCATTGGCATGTTATTGAGGAAGAGAAGCTATGAATATCATAAAAATGGAAGAATGGAGTTGAATTGCTTACATGCATGCATATTTTGAGTTAAGCTCCATGCAATTCATACATGCATGGCACAATTATACCTCATTTTGGAGAATCCTTCATGTTTTCATGCTTCTCATGTCACTTGATCATATTTTGAACATGTTTTGGAGAAATATACACTCAAATTGAGTTAAACTTATTTTATAAATTGAGGTTGGAGTCATTGGTTGGAAATTACCATGATTGAATAAATGGGTTCAAATTAGAAGTGTTTTCATATTATATAGTGACTCTCCATGTTTTTATACCAAAAACACAAGATTTGAGGCTTTGAGTACCATGTTTGAACTTCAAACACAGTTTTGGAAATTCCAGAATTCGTGATGTTCGCTCGAGCAAGGGAGTCCACGCTCGAGCGTGAAAATCGGGCTCCCAGAAGTTTCTGAAATTTTACAGTCCGCTCGAGCGGCCAAAGTGACGCTCGAGCGAGGACCCTTTTTCTTAGTCTTCCGCTCGAGCGACCATCGAGCGGGAATTTCATGTATGCAGTACTTTTGCAGACCGTTCGAGCGACAGAAGTTACGCTCAAGCGACCACCTTTGTTTTCAAAACCCCGCTCGAGCGCGCTCGAGCATAGGAAGTTGCGCTCGAGCGGAGACCCTGTTTTTAGCAAAGTTTTACCAACTCTTTTAAGTGCATATTTGCATCCTCATGCCACTCCAAGCATTCTTAGGTACCATTTGGACTCCGTTAATCATACAATAAGTTAGAGACGCATAAAGAGAATTGAATTAAAATGAAATGGAGTTTCATCTCACCTTGCTTGTTTCCACTTTTCAAAGAACACTTTTCAGAAAATTCTACTTTCTTATTTTCCGTGTTTTTTTGTTTTTACTGAATTTTTTTAATATTTTAAGCAATTTTTTTACTTTTTAGACACACCTAACATAAATACACCTAAAAATTAAAAAAATTGTAAAAAACATCTTTTAAAAATTCACTAAATACCAAAAATACAAAAAAAAAATACAAGAATTCAATACATTTTGTATTTTTATGCATTTATTAATTTTTTAAAATATTTTTTCACAAATTTTTTACTTTTTAGATACATCTAAGTAAGGTACATCTAAAAAAGTAAAAAAAAATGTTTAAAATTTAAAAAATATTCACTAAAAACAAAAAAAAAAACACAAAAACCAAAAAAGTAAATTTTCAAAAAACTTAATTCAGAAAACTCAAACCAAACACACTGATTTGCACTTTGTTATGTGTTTCACTAGGTGGACGTCCGAGGCTTAGTGTCACCGCAAACCATTGTGAGCAATAACCTTATAAAGATATGTTCAAATTATCTTTACTTTCGAAAATGTTATTGCTATCAAAAATGGATATATAATTGATTGAATGAATTCTTAAAATGATTTGATAATTGATAGCATGGCTTATTGAAATGTTATATCCTTTAATGAATGGAGTTCTATTTTGAAACGATATTGTGTCATCCATTGAATATAGGCCTTTGCCTGGGGGTAACAATACCATGGCTAAGCCCTTGCCTGGGGGTAACAATACCATGGCTAGGCCCTTACCTGAGGGTAACAATACCATGGCTAGTATGATACGTTATCATTGGAATAATATTTGTCACTTCATGGATGTACCACATATAATGTTACGAATGGCTTTTGTCACTGCAAAGAGATGCTATTATTGTTGGCATATTATAATCACCGAAAGTCACTTAGTATTTTATTAGCCGAAAGGCAGTAGGGTCTGTTATCATTGTTATGCCCTCAGGGATCATCTTGTAATTGTCGTGTTTGTAAACCCTAATCTTCATGTATAAATAAGGGGTGATATCTCATCATACCCTAAGCTGATTTATTCGAGCTTCAATTATTACTAATTGAAATGTCTTGTTGTGAATTTGATCTAATGTGGTGAATATCTTCCTTTGAAAATGATTTAAGATTCATTTCAAAATTGTAAGACACGCTTTTGTACTATTGTCGATCTTCATTCATTTAACCTCTTTATTCTGTTATTACTCATTGGGCTCTAGCTCACTATTTATTTATATATGTAATTGTAGATGGGCAAACTGAACATCAGAGTTAGATAGCCTCGAGTCTACTCGGGTCAGCCTTTTGTGGAGCTTCCAAGTGAAGCAATCAGGCTTCGGCAGAGCCATGCTTGTCGAACCCCTTTTGTGTGGTTTAATGGTTTCGTATTTTGTACATGGTTGGGGTTGCATTTTTGTATGATATGAATTTGTACTTATGTTGGGTGCAACTTGAAACAAAACCTTACTTAACATATTTGCTCTCCTTATATATGCACGGCTCAATGGATGAATTCTATAACATTTTAGACTTCCGCTAAGCCCCGTACTTTATATTATTTGTTTATTTGTATGGAGGCCGTAGGTAATCTATGATTATTGGCCGGTCATGACGCTAAACCTATAGGGGCGGATTTGAGTCGTGACAATTCAGCCTTATTGAAGGTCAAAAATGGAAGAACATTCAGCGAAAAGAATCTGAAATTCTGCACACAGGACAGATTGCATACACCAACTTTATTTCAAATCCAAACCATGCAAATCTTGTGTCTAAATTGAAGCTCTAGAAGTCTAGTTTCATATGGAACTAGCCTCATGTTGAAATTCATAGCATGGAGAGAGATATGAACAAAATGTGTTCAACAACTAACCACCAAATTTGACTTCCCAAATCTTCCATATTCAACCATGGGTGGTTGAATTTATGAGCAAATCCATAAATATTGGGGAAGAAAGACTTTGTATATGTATTTGCTCTACAAATATAGAGGTTGGGTAGAGAGAGTTTTCTTCCAAGCTCTCTTCCCAGAGAATTATGGCAATGTCTACAATCATGTGTATGTAGCTAATCTTCTCATCCTTAGGGTTTAAATCAAGCCCTGCTCAAGAAACATTTGAGCTTTTGTAATTAATTCTTAGGTTGTATTATTTTTGGATAATAATTGCACAGCATTTAAAGGTTTTTCTACATGTATTTTTTATGTCACTTCTTGTGTTTGATTTCTGTGATTTCAAATGCATGGTTATGCAATAGTTTTATTTGTACATATATTGGTATATCCTAAGATAGACCATGCTAAGGGAAGACGGACCGTTCCTACGGCAATAGTTTAGTGTGAGAAGGTTTGTGCCAACCGAAGATGGTCTATGCCTAGAGTTTGGGTATATAAATTTTCTAAATGATCATATTAGGACTTATAGCCATAATATATCATATTATCCATTAATTAATCTCCCAAGAACAGTTACAATTGCCTCGTGTTACGCAAGTAGTGGTGGATTTGAACACCCTAAGGAATTCTTCTCAACCAAGCTCCATCATTCTTTTATATTTATTTTTCATTTTTATTAAGTTCACACATCAACTTTCTTTGATCAAGTAAAAACAATTTTCAATTTTAAGCACTTTAGTCAATACCATCCCTTCGGTATGACACCCGTACTCATTCCACTAGATTCTTTACTTTGCATAGTTATGGGTTACTAGTTTTCTACACGATCAGTTGGCCTTGCCATGAGATGGTGCAATGACAAAGCACCATAAAAGGCACTGTAGAGAAACAATCATGGTTTTGACATACTGCCATCCTCGTCAGTTCTTAAGATCTTTTCCTACTAGGAATATTCTTGAGGTTCTTACAAAAGATAGTTTCAAGAAAGGAATGAAGTGTTGCAATATCTGCAAACCAGTTTCGAGCATCAGACATGTGTCGTGATGCGAGGTAAGATATGGCAAGCAAACACAAGATGGCTAGCAAAGGGTGGCATCGAAGCATGAGGTGGCTAACATGAGGTGCAAGCAAGTACGAGGTGGCATATTTTCTGGAAATGTGACGATGTGCTTGCTTATGCGAAGGACTTATTTGCAGTTTATTTGATCCTTGCAGGCAACTTGCTTTCTCTTTGTCAACAATAGGTAATAGTAGAATTTTTAAAATTTGAGAAGGGGCAACTGCCCCCTCTAGGTTGATGTGGCTCCCCCAGTGTGCCATGATAGATACAGTTGAGAATTGTTTATAAAATTCAAGCCCACTCATTGGTAGCAAGGTAATTCAATATTTATGGGATTTTATGGAAGTTACTGTTAGAATTTACCTACACCTACCACCACCTACTACCACACCTACTACACCTACCACCAATTTACCCTCACCTACTCCTCACCTACTACCCAAACCCTCTCCTATATAATGAGCTACTCTGCTTTGTAATATAACACATCAATGTACAATATCAATCAATATCAATCAATAATACATCATTTTTGACATGGTATCAGAGCTTGGTTAAAGATTTTGGTGTTCTTCGCCTTCCGGCGGGCGGCAACCTTGCCTTGACCGCCCGCCGGATCTCAACCAATTCAGATCCCAAGAAGAAGACTAAGAAGAAGCTCAATAGGAGCCGTTGCTATATGTTTTTTCCTTCATCATCAAGCTCGAGACGAGGCAGCTGCCTTAAGAACGGGTTCATGTCATCCATTTCTCTCTGATAATCTGTTGGCGGAGTTCATCTCAACCCTAATCTTCGTCTTCGCAGGAGAAGGCTCCGGCATGGCCTTCAACAAGCTGACCGGCGACGGCGCCGCAACCCCCTCCGGCGTCATCTCTGCTGCCATCGCCCATGTTTTTGCTCTTTTCCCCGCCGTCACCTTCGGCGCCTTCATCGGCGGCCACATCACCTTCCTACGTGGCATCCTCTACTGGATTGCTCAGTTGCTTGGTTCCATCGTGGCTTGTTTATTACTCAAGTTTTCCACCAATGGCATGTCAACATCGGTGTCTGGAAGGCTTCAAGAACTCTATCAGCGACCCACAATCCAAACTCTCTTCATGGATCTTCACCACCACCGCGGAATAAGTTTTATCTGAACCGAACTATGGGACATGGTTCATTGGACCATCATGATGTTGTTTCCTTGCCAGAACTTCTCTATCCTGTTGAAAGCCTATCACAAATTTTTATTGCTACTTTTACAAGCGATATTTTATGGTTTTTATCATACTGTGATATTCCTACCCACCTGTGCTGCCAATCCCATCTACCCACCTGTGATATTCCCGACTGAAAAGTTTGGCCTTCACATGGGCACACACCCCACTCTGTTCTTTTCTTTAAACAATAACAGCCCCATGTGCTATTTGATTCAATTTATTACATTTTTTTTTATTTTATTTTATTATTTTATTAAAAAAAAAAAAAAAAAAAAAAAACCCCCCCCGGGACATCTAATCTAATGATTAAACAAACATGATATACATATCCTATCCAATCAAATAGTCCCAGGGCTATAAATTTCAGGATTACAGTTCGATGAATTCTAATCCCTCATATTCAGTCCGTCCAAACAAACACACTCTTATTGTTTTAATCAATTTTTTTTGTATACTTTTTTAGACTCGAAATTAAAACTTTACTCATCTAAGTGCCATCTCTATGACCAATTAGACAAATGCCTTGAGCCAATCCAAATTCACTTAAAAACTAAAATATTTGTGAATATTAAAATATGAAAATACTCTGAATTTTTGTATTTTATTGTTTTTATACCTTTTAAGTGTAATTAGATAATTGAATCTAAAAGATAAAAACAAAAAAATGATTAAAATATTAAAAAATTGACTAAAAAAAAGTTCTAGCAACTCAGTTGGGATTTTTTGGTGGACCATCCATTGTGGCTGCTTTTTTTCTATTACGTCAAATGTCCAGGACGAGCGTGTAAAGCATCTATATTGTAGCAGGGAGGTGAAAAGGTAAAGGGAAAAAAAAGAGAGAGATGAAAAGTTAAAATGAAGAGAAAAATAATAAAAGTGTTTTGGTCTTATTGTAAAATAAATTATGTTAATAAGACAGTTTTTAATTTTTGGGTTTGGTTAAGATGTTAAGAATGTAATAAATGGCCTTAACTACTCTCATTTATATGAGGAAAGTAAAACAAAACTAGAAATAAATATGGTGTTTTTGAAAAACTAATAAAGTTGGTGTTTTTTTTTTTACATGGACAGAAATATCCTATTGTTTAAATGATGAAATTGACAAAATCCTAAGATTCTTTTATTATTATTTAGTTCTATTGTATGGTGCGTTGTGTTAGATTAAAAAATAAAAAATAAAAAATTCATGTACTGTATGCTTTGTTTATTAATTTTTATTTTTTTAAATTTATTACGGTACTAACTATAGGTTGATACCCAACCTTTATGCTATTCGTACTGGAAATATTTGCCCTGTTGCTTATCTTTCTTTCTTATATTTATTTATTTTTATGTATATATATTTTTTATACTTGAGATATTAATAAGTACCGTTATGCAATGGGCAATCCTATTCACTGAGGACTTTTATGGGTAAGTTACACTTGTCACCAATGAAGTTTAGAGGAAATAAAATAAGTTATATAAGTTTGATATAATTATACTAAATTTATTTTTAGTTAGATTGAAACGATCAAAATTAATATAAATAGTATGTAAACATAGTAATAAATAAGAGTAATATACACATTTTAGCATAAAAGAGACAATAATATAATTTTTTATTCATATAATTATCGATGAAAATAGATTAAGTATTATATGAATTAAAATCTTAAAAAGGTTAATATAATTATGTCTAATTTGTAGAACTTAATGAATTTTCTCAATATGTGAAATTTGTTAAACTTGCAGGACTCAATAAATTTTCTTCAAATTTAAAGGAAAATAAGTGTAATTTACCAAATTTTTATACAAAATTTTGGTACAAAAGTGTTCTTATGCTCCTTTTCAATTCAAAAATTAAAACATCCATTTAAGATTTGAATTATCTCCATTACGCAGAATAGACATTCCATTTCATTATGCGAAAGAGACACTTTAACAAATTAATACTTTAAACTCTAATTAAAAGATATATCACCACTGGTGGAGATATATTTTTTGAATACCAACACGTGACAAGGTGACGCCGACGTGTCAGCCGAGGTGTCACGTGTCCTGGTCGTGACGCCGAGGTTATCTCCGAAGATATCGAAATCCGAGATAAGAGGATGAAAGATAAGGGACAAGAGTCCTAAAATAAAGAGGAGATTTAGCCAAGATAAGGATAAAGCTCTTAGAGAGTTTATCTTTATCTCTTGAGGAGTCCAAAGTAAGTACTGAATTGGAGTCCATAGAAGTGAGGCTTCTAGTGAGACTAGGATTAAGTAAACTATAAAAGAGAGGCACCCCCGTGGGTCTAAGGTACGCAATTTTATGCTTTGAGCAGTAAGTTTAGCACTTGATTATCTTTGAGAGATATACTGACTTGATCGTCGGAGTGCCCTCGGGTGGAAGAGCCACCGCCGGAGCCTTTTCTTTCTGTTGCAGGATAACTGAAGCCATCTATTCTGCCAGTGCTCTCTAGCTGATTACTAAGCAGGCAGTGTGATCAGAAAATCACTCACACAATTTGGCGCTGTTTGTGGGAAATTAGAAGAATAGATGGCCAGTAACGGACAGAAGGAAAAGGTTGGGGACGACACTCCTACTGGGAGTGGCAGACCAATCGACCTTGATATTGAAGAAGACAACAACAATGCAGAAACTCGTGACCAGGGCCACGAAGAGAAAGACGTCGGCCAGAAGGGCGACACTTCGAAGAAGACAGACCAAAACAAGTACTACAACGAAGATAACCTCCAGGTATGGAGGGATAGGTGCCTGCAGAGGGATGAAGAAGTAAAAGAATTGGCAAACAAGTTGGTAGACCTACAGTCGGTCGTCAACTTCATGATGCAAAACAATGTCATGCAGCCACCATACCCGCTGCACGACATGCCGATTCCAGCAACTAATATCCAGAAGGGAGGAAGGAAAACAATCCTCGAAGCCCCTCAGCACACCAGGAGCGGAAGGTACTCACACCGATCTTCTAGGGAAGTCGGACGAGAGGAGCCAAGACGAGAGGAGTCCCGAAGGACGCATCACACGAAGGACCCAGAGCCCAAAGAACATCGGCATGTTCAAGGACAGGCGCTCTGCTTTGACATAACCCATGGAGAAAGATCAAAACGGGCCCACCACGAGGCTGAAAGTAGTGTGCCGAAAAGATTGAAATCCAAAGATAGCCGAGCTCCAGGGAGGAGTAAAGAAGACTTGAGAGATTACCTCAAGAGGAAACAACAGAATGCTGAAGCCGAGGTAACTTCCCCGGCTAAGCCGAAGACACCATTCTTGGTGGAATTGGACAAATTTGAAGCACCAAAGAGATTCAGTATGCCGAGGTTCCAAATATATGATGGTAAGTCAGATCCCAATTTTCATGTTGGACTATATCTGAATTTAATGGCATTATATAGTGGGAACGAGCTGTTGCTCTGCAAAGTATTCCCCTCATCCTTTGGGGAGATTGCATCAGATTGGTTCCATAAACTACTGAAGGGAAGCGTAAAGACTTGGGAAGGCCTGGCTGAGATGTTTGTGGCCAGGTTTGTGACGAACAAACTACAACCCTTGAGGGTCGACGCATTGATGGCTTTAAAAATCACCAAGGATGAAGGCCTTAGGGCCTACGCAAAAAGGTACTATGAGGTGTTCAATCGAATACATGAATGCAACCAAGAGGTAGCGGTCGTGTCTTTCAAGAACGGCCTGAAAGATGACTGCCCACTACGGAAGTCTTTGGCAAAGACATTGCCAAAAAGCATGGAAGAACTCATGGCGAGAATCGAGAAGTACGCCATAGCCGAGGAAGATACGTCGGGAAACAAAGAGACAAAGCAGGAGAAAGGAAACGGCTCGCCGAAGCGAAGCCGAGCTAACAATGGGTCGATCAAACAAGAAACGAAATTGAGGGCTAAATAGGCAGTGACGACTGTGTTTCGAATCCCGATCCACAAAGTCCTGGATCAAATACGAAACCAACCCTATTTCAGAGCACCGACAAGAACACTAGGGGAATTTATGAGAAGAAACGTCGGTAGGCGTTGTGTATACCACAATGAAGAAGGGCACCCAACTCAGGGTTGCAGAGCCCTAAAAGCACACTTAGAAGACTTGGTGAGGCAAGGCCATCTGAGGGACCTTGTCGATGAGGCCAGGACAAGGGAAGAACAGGCTAGATTGCCTCAAGCACCAGCAGCTCCGCCTCCCTCAGCACAGCAACCACAGGCAGGAGGACCACGGGTGGTTAATGTAATTCACTCAAAAGTGAACGAAAATGACATGCGAGGGAAGACCCAGAAGGTAAAACACTTACAGCACGTGAACCAAGTCGGACATAAAAGACCTCGGCCTCAAGAATGCCAGGGACCGACGATAGCCTTTACCGAAGCCGACCTAGAGATGGTCCAACATCCACATAATGATGCATTGGTAGTATCCCTGTAGGTTGGGGAGTGCCAAGTGAAACGCATCCTGATTGATCAAGGTAGCTCTTGCGACATCATGTATGTTAGATGTTACAAAGAACTGGGCCTTCATCCTGATGACTTGGAGCAATCCAATGGCTCGATGGTCAGCTTCAATGGAACGCCGACGTGGCCACTGGGCGCAACAAGCTTGGAAGTACAAGCCGACACTAAGAAGATCAAGACAGAATTCATTGTGATTGACACACCCTCCCCTTACAATATCATCTTGGGAAGGCCATGGTTGCATGTAATGGGAATAGTTCCCTCAACATTACATCAACTACTGCGATTCCCAACAGAGCATGGGATAGAGGAAGTTAGAGGTGATCAACTACAGGTGAAGAATTGCTTCATGGCAGCAATGAAATCTACCTGCAGCGTACAAGAGCCAGAGAAGGCAGAAATTGAAGATGAGGACGTGGAAGTCCTAAAAGATGTCGGCAAAGAACCAGCTGAGAAGAGCGAAGAGGTGCTAAAGAAAATCCTCATCCAAGATGGAGATGAAGAACGCTTCTTTCTTCTCGGCTCGGGCTTAGCCGAAGAAGAGGAAAAAGAGTTGGAGACTTTTTTAAAAGCAAATATTGACGTGTTCGCTTGGACACCATACGAAATCCCTGGCATTGACCCCGAGGTCACTTGCCACAAGCTGAATGTTAACAGGTCGGCCAAACCTGTAATTCAGCGAGCCAGAAGACCGACGTTGATACACGTCGAAGCAGTAGAAGAAGAAGTAGACAGACTTCTGGAGGCCAGGGCCATTAGAGAAGTACACTACCCAACGTGGCTATCCAATACAGTGGTGGTAAAGAAGAAGAACAGTAAATAGAGGGTCTACGTAGACTTTACCAACCTCAATAAAGCCTGTCCCAAAGATAGCTTTCCCCTGTCCAAAATTGACCAGCTAGTAGATGCCACTTCAAGGCATGGAAGAATGATTTTTCTAGACGCCTACAGGAGGTACCACCAGATCGCCATGTACCCCCAGACGAAGAAAAAACCGCATTTATCACCCCAAAAGGCCTGTACTGTTATAGAGTAATGCCTTTCGGGTTGAAAAATGCAGGAGCAACTTACCAAATGCTTATAACCAAAATGTTCAAACACTTGATTGGCCGAATAGTAGAGGTCTACATCGATGACATGGTCATGAAGACCAAGGAACCTAAGGGTCATCTTGCCGACCTAAAAGAAGTCTTTGACATACTCAAAACATACCGGCTCCGACTCAACGCATCGAAGTGCGCATTTGGAGTTGGATCAGGTAAGTTTCTGGGGTACCTAGTAACAAGAAAGGGCATTGAGGCCAGCCCAGATCAAATCAAGGCCATCCTAGAGTTGAAGAGCCCGACATCGGCAAAGCAGGTACAGATGCTAACTGGAAGGGCCGCAGCCCTAAACAGATTCATCAGCAGAAGCTCAGACAAATGTAAACCCTTCTTCAACCTGGTGAAGAAGGCCACGAACTTCCTATGGACTAAGGAATGTGAGGCCTCTTTGTCTAACCTAAAGAAATATCTGACCACGGCTCCAGTCCTCTCAACACCTGAACTTGGGGAAGAACTGTTTTTATATTTAGCAGTTTCAGAACACACAGTAAGTGCAGTGCTAATTCGAGAGGAAAAAGGGGGAGCAAAAGGCTGTTTATTATGTAAGTAAAACCTTGGCTGATACAGAAACAAGGTACCTACCACTAGAAAAATTAATGTTGGCCTTAGTAATGGCTTCAAAGAAGCTGAACCATTACTTTCAAGCGCACAAGATTATAGTGCTAATAGAGCACCCACTAAAGTTTGTTACAACAAGGAGACTTAACTGAAAGAATAGCAAGATGGGCAGTGGCCTTGGGCCAGTACGACCTGGAGTTCAGGCCGAGAACAGCAATTAAGGGCCAAGTTTTGGCCGACTTCGTGGCCGAATTCACGCCAGAATCCATCGAACATCGAGCTCCGTTGAGCTAAGATGAACGTTGTTCAAGCAAACAAGGAGAAGCCCAACCAAAGGCAAAAGAAGAAAGAAAGGAAAAACTCAAACCCTGCAGCATTTACATCGGCGACTCCTTTCGCCTGTTTGTCGATGGGAGCTCAAACCGGCAAGGAGCGGGGGCAGGAATAGTGTTAATATCACCTGATGGGGAGA